GTCGTCAAAACTAGTCATTATGCCAACTAGTTTTCTTTTTGTCACGGATTAAGAGTTTTTTCTGTGCATCAACTTTTTTATAGTTAATGTAACTTTCAAGCGAACCTTCTGATCTGTATTTGTAGAATGCACTTCTACTGCATTTAACTGTTTCCAAACACTCGCTATCCCACCATGAAACAGGTTTTCTAGTAGTGTGATGAGAGTCTTTTTTATATTTTGGTATACATATTGTCATGCATTCTAACAATTTATTATGAAACATGTTGTAAAGGATCATTAAATTGAAGTATAGTAAATTCTTTTTCTGTTACAGATTTAAAACGGGACCAGTCTGCCCTGTGGTATAAAAACCGATCACATGGAGTACCTATAACATATTTCTCAAAGGACAGTTGTATCTTGGTGATGGTAGGAAAGTGATAACTACCCATGGGATCGTCATGTACTGTCCAGTCACAGAAGGGTGCTAGAGTAGGGCTTATACATGTTATATCAATGGCTGATTGATGATGGTGGACAGATCCAATAGTAGTGGGAGAGCCAGTATTTAAAATACACAAATCAAATTCATCTAATAGATTATAAATCTGATTTCCTCTAGAAGAGGTTGATCTACAACCAAAAGCTATATGATGAGCGTTTAGATCACCTGCTAGCATTAATGGTTTTGGAACATATTTTAAAATATTTTTTAAAGCATTGACCTGAAAATTATTGTTTTTTCCTGATGGTGGAGTGTATGCAGTCAAGATAGTTAAGGAACCCAGATTTGTTACTATATTAACAGCAGTGCTTTGTATTAAGTCATAGTAAGGTGTGGATATTACATTATACTTAAAGGTATCCCTTATTAGTATAGCCACTCCACCATGACCATCAGGACCATTTTGAGAAATGAAATTGTAGTTATGAATTTTGAAATTGTTTCTGTCTCTCAACCAAGTCTCATTAAGGAGGCAAATGTCTATATCTTTATCATGAAGAAAGTTAACTAGCAGAGGTTTTTTAGAGTTCAGACTTTGTACATTGAATTGGCAGATATTAATAAAATCTTTATCCATTTTTAAGTTTTTCAATTAACACTTCCTTGATAATTGCTGAGGTCAACTTTCTGGTGTCGTTTCCCAATGCTACAAGAGTGCCTACTAATCCCTTGAGAATAACGTCATTTTTTAATACTTCATTTAATAATTGCTCTGTAGACAAAGGTTTACTGGGACTAATTGGTTTTGTAGGTTTGGGAGGGAATGCCGGAAAAGAAGAATTATAATTTTGTACGAGATTATCATTACTATTGAGTGCATTCGCATAAGAGACTGTTAGATTTTTCCATAATTTTCCTTTTTTTAATTGGAAAATCTCTAGAAATAGCTAGATGTTGTCCTCCGCAGTTAATGCATTTTTTAATTGTTTCGGCGTTGCATTCAGAATAGTGATGTTCTCCGGCACATATAGAGCATACCTGCACTGAATTACACACTTTAGCCCCATGGTTAAACTTAAGGCATTTGTAACATTGCAACAATGGAGCAACATATTCATGTACCTTAAATCTAAATATATCTAGATACACATAATCCGGCAATGTATTAGTAAGGAAAGTAATAAACTCACAGATCCAAAAGGTTTAACATTTCCATCTACAATTTTTTGAAATCTACGTACGCTTATAATTTCATATGATGAAGACAACTTTTGGAACAATTCTTCATTGGAAATATTAGTTGGTACGAATCGTAGCACACCAATCTTCTCTACGGCTCTGGCAGGAATGTATGCCTTATAATTATATTTGGTGAGGAAATTTTCATTCTTTAAAAAGTTGTTTGCGTTATTAGCTTGGGAAAACGTAACACCGACTTTATTTGCGTTGAGCCGCCTGATATTGGTCACACCTTTAATTTCATTCTTAAATTGGCTTGCTAAAACAAGCGGGTTTTTGTTTCAAATTTTTTCACCTGCAGAATTGTCAGGGAACACTCGTTTATATCCGAGTTTACTGTACGGTTTATAAAAATCCTTGTCCACCTCACTGCTAATAGAAAAAGTTTCATCATTGTCTGCAGTTTCACGAAGTCTCTTCAGAGGACGATGAGAGTCGACCCCGGGGCCGTCACCCCCCGGGGTTTTATTCATTTTTACAGTTTATGCACTACTTTATTTATAGAGATGCTATAACAAATAAAATAATGGAATTTAAACAATAATTAAATTAAGTTTGGTTTAAGTCTTTAAAAATCGCGCCCTACTTTTTCAAAAGCCCGCCAAAAAGTCTCTGATGTTGAGTGATGGTGATCAGTGTGACCATATGTGGCAGGATCCTGCCTTTTCGGCAGGTTTAGCCCTTTATTTTACTCTGTGGCATATTTGTTTGACGTTTTAGAAATCTGGCAGTATTTGGCAGTTTATAGCAATTAAACCTTTTTTTTATTTATTTAAATGAGTAGGGTGCGGATCAACAAAAGAAAAAACAGTACGTAGGAATTTTAAAATGCCAATGGCAATATTGGCAACGATACCTTTGTTTCGAGGATTTCCCATAACATCTCTAGTCGAATTTGTAGTTCATTTCATTGTAAACCTTAAAGTGTGGAGTATAATGACTATATTACCTTTATTTTTATTTGTCAGTTGTTTAAGTAATTAGTCGGACTAGAAAAACTGTCGGAGACACAATTTTATTTTGTTTCTGATTTCGTGCGGTGTGTCGAATGGTTACCATAATACCATGAAACGTCAACATGAACGATTATATCGCGTAGTAGTATTTATACTGTATGACACAGCAATCAAAATGCAGGTAAACAATTAATGTATATTTAATCATTATGTAATGAAAGGTGACTTTATGAATCATCTCAGAAGTAATTTTTCAATTTGACGACTCTGTAAATAATAAAACAGGGAGAAAAAACAGCCCTTGCTGAGTTTCTTGCCGGTTCTTCTCAGTACAAGGTCACCCGCTGTAGATTTACGAACCGATGGCGTAACTTCCAAACATTCATGAGTGCTCGTAACAGCCTAAACTGAATAAATGATTTTGATTATGATTATAAAATTGTATAGTGGAACAACACTGAACATTCTTGTGGCAGAAACTAGGAACTATAACTATATAATAATAATAATAAACGTTTATTGACTTAAAGCAAGTTACAATATTTTAAATTAATAATACAAAAATTGGTGACAAGAGGCACATTGGAGCTTAAATATTGTTAAAGGTGACTTCTGTTGCCAGTGGTAGGATCACCTGTATTACAGGCAATAGGGTCCCCTCTATGTACGTAAATACTGTAGACGATTTGGGTGTGCGCACATTGGTTGTATGATTACTTAAATAGATATATAAACTAGTTATAAAAACTACAGAAACCGACAATAACTAAATGCTGCCGTATTTGATTACACAATAAAGTGTTCTAATTATTTACTAAACACTCCGTCTCTTCGTAATCCATACCTTTAAGCCATTTGCTAACTTTTATTTTGCAGTTATACATTATAAGGGAATGAATGGATAAAAGAGAATTTAATTTTTTATATAATTTTGCGCTCACATATTGGTAGTTTTTTCAGGCAAATGAGGTTTTACAAATGACATTAGGGAAAGGTTGCTTGGGTCGTCTAGCAACTTCTGAGACAACAGGACCGGTCGGTGCCGGATAAGATTTATGAAACCGAAGAATTGAACGTAAAATATACAGTTGCCGTACAGTGAGACAATTAAATTCTTTGTATAGTTCCCGAGTTGGGTATCTGTATGGTTTCCGGAGAAGAACCTTAAGGACCGCTCGCTGCGCACGTTCCAAGTGAACGAGTTTTGTTTTTGAGGAGTTTTGAAAATAACTTAGTTTGCATAGTAGCGCCCGCCCGTTCTCCAACGGGGCAAAAATCGGAACTACCTCTATTGATAGCAGCGCTAACTTGTCAATGTCATAAAAAGGACAGATCAGCGTTGTCGATACATTGGCATTATTTCGGCATTTTGTGCATAAAATTTTGGCAGGATTTGTCAGTTTTTTTGCCTAAGCGGGGCAGGATCTCTAATTAAGGTTGGTCACACTGATGGTGATGCAAATTCTAAGTCATTGTGGTGCTCTGAATAAGGAATCCAAGTGTAGTGTGGTGCCGAACCTTGTTGACAGGGGCTTTTGTTGTCAGATTGATAGGCTTGTAAATGGAAGAATTAATATTAAATATGTTTTATCATAGATGAATGATTGGTCTCGCTTCACTCGACTAGATACCGCCGGCGCGGCGTATTTGTCTAAATACTATGCCGAAATCGGCATACCCGAGCTTTCACCGAGCCAGTCAACCTGACAGTTGTGTATTATATGGGGCTTAGATTAAAACAAAAAGGGTTTTTTAATGTAAGTTTTAATCTAAGGTATGGGGTGTACGTAGTGAATGTTTTATTAAAATTTGGTGTTAATAGAAAGTAAAATGCCAGTTTATGCAGTGAAATAATACAACAATAAATAACAAGGACGCTGGGATCACATACTATCAATAAGTATAGTAAAATTCCGAAATTTCAACATAAAATAACATGAACCATAAACGTCATTCAGATGTTGCCGCGTATACAGTTTGTCTATAGAGTCGTGACATTAAATGATGGCGCCTCTAGTACAGTTTGTATAAAAAGTCGTGACATTAAATGATGGCGCCACTAGTATGCATGTAGCAACCCTATACAGTCTGACCAAAATGATTTTGATACTAGCAGTTCATTCAAGTAAAATAGGTAATTAAGCTTCTGTCCCCTATTCCAAGCCTTTAAAATTGAGATGGCAACCCTGTCTTGACATATGAACACGCACAAAGGCGCCCCCTAGCGGCCGCATTCGTCATCAGTTGTCCTCTACTATCTATGGCACTCCCTCCACCATAGGGTACTGCCAGAGTGCACTCAGATTCAGATTCAGATTTCGAAAACAAGCGCGAGAAATAAACAGTGTAGTCGAAGGGTACGGCCAGAGTGCACTCCTGATTCAGATTCAGACTCAGAAAACAAAGCGCGAGAAAAAGCAGGCAACCTGCTTAGACTACACTGTTTATTTCTCGCGCTTGTTTTCGGAATCTGAATCTGAATCTGAGTGCACTCTGGCCGTACCCATACACAATATCCAGCAGCCGTGCGCGGCTGGCGCGATCGGCTCATTGGCGTTTCTTGTCTGAAAGAAGCAACACGCATAAAGTATTGCTGCACCTCTAAATAATAATAATAAAAAAAAAAGATTATTTTCTTGAAGGTAGTTAAATAAATTTCATTTTAAATTTGTTTCAAAAATGGAGAACTTTGAAAACGGTGCAACAATTAACTCGAAGGTGACGTTATCCCCCTGCTCCTGAGTCATCGCGGTCGTCATCATCACGTTCAACGAGCGACTTTGATTTGGAGTCCAGCCATCGCAGCCCGCGACGTCGGCGCCGCCACCGCCGTCGGCGCCACAGTGTAAGTAGGTTGAGGAAGTTGGAAAAAGTGGTAAAAGATATTGCCACGTCGGTGAGTGCCTTGCATGCCCGTAATCGAGAGAATAGTGAATTACGTGAAAGTGACGCTGACGTGTTATCATTATTCGCCCCTGATGATTTGGTCGATAACTTTGATCAACAAATTGATTTGCCATGCTCTAATTTGAACTTTAAGCAAGAAACTACCCTCAAATCATCGGGTGCGAAAACTTCTGATGCACACGCGGAAATGTTATTGAAATTGCAACATTTTGATAATGAGGATTGGTGTCAAGTTCGTTTTACGGAAGCCCAGCCACCCTAGCATGACTAACAAAACGCGATATGATAAAGCGATTTATCGACACTCAACTGTCAAACTCCATTGTAGTTTGACAGTTAATGTCGATAAATCGCTTTATCATATCGCGTTTTGTTACTTATGCTAGGGGGGCAGAAATGCTATTTGTCTAGTCCAGGTTTTATCGAATTAGAAAGTAATGACATGCTGAAAAGGTTTGAACGTAATAAATCGATAGCGGCTACAGAAAAGACACTAGCTGCTCTTTGTCATGGCTTGATTATTCAAAATGAACATCTCCAACAAGGTTTTTTGAATTTAGTTTCTTAGAGAGTCACACCAACAAATTACGGCTCAGGATATTTTGTCTAAGATAAACGAAATTTTTTCGGGCGATTATACTAAAACTAATCTTGATCTATTACAAATAGTATGTGGGCGTCGTGCTGTCATTATACAACAGCGTCGCGATAGCCTTTTACATTACGTAAAGGATAAGTATGTTAAGGAGTGCTTAAGGAAGATCCCTCCAACTTCGGAGAATCTTTTCGATGATAAAAGGTTTTCAGAATGTGTCACAAAAAACGGCGGTGTTGATAAAGTATTCATGCAGACTACTAATGTGCCACCTGGTTCACTTAGTTCCAAGAAAGTTCTTGCGCAAAGAGTTTCGCAATGAAGGTTGCGTAAACCTTTTGATTCATCACATAGCCGGGTGCACGTTACGAATGGACCATCAACTAGCACTGCTACCTTCGGGCCCCCTGCGCAAGGGAAAAAGCGCAGAGCAGAGCCCTTTCGGTCCAAAGGTGGCAAATATTATAAAAATCAACAAGGTAAGCGTTTCCAAAGACGTAATGATTGACTACCCGTCATTTCAAGCGGGTCGATTGGAACGTTATCCAACTCGTTGGAGAAAGTGGGGAGCACCGAATCATGTCCTAAAAATTATATCGGGATACAGAATACCATTTATAAAAAAACCTCCGTTAGTGCCTCCACATCAAATATCGACTTTATTTCACACGAGCAAAAAATTTTCTATAATAAAGGAGGTAAAACTACTGCAGCGCCAGGGTGTTCTGGAGCCAGCTCCTGTAACACCCAGCTTTGTGTCGAACATTTTTCTAGTACCAAAAACAAATGGCGCAATGCGGCCAGTTTTCAATTTAAAACGTTTAAACAATTTTGTCCACACAAGCAAATTTCGATTAGTCAACATGTTCAGAGTTTCCGACTTCCTCCAACCAAACGACTGGTTAGTAAAATTAGACCTTCACAACGCATATTTTCACGTCTCTGTAAAACCGGAACACCGTCGCTGCCTCCGAGTAATATTGCCATACGAGCGGCACCCTCTGTGGCAAATGACCTGCCTCCCATTCGGGTTATCAACAGCTCCAAAAGTTTTTGCAACGATAACGAATTGGGTGGCGGAGGTACTCCGCAGCAGGGGTATCAGGGTCCTGGTATATTTGGATGATTTCTGTTTCGCACATCAGAATCCAGGGGTACTGCAACAATAGGTAACTTTTGCAATAACTTTTTTTCGCGAACTGGGCTTGACAATAAATTTCCAAAAATCTGTTTTGGTTCCGCAACGATCCATAGAGTTTCTGGGCATCCAGTGGAATCCCTGGAACAACAGAAAATATTTACCCTCCGAGAAGGTGCTAAAAATTCGACAGCAAAGTCTCAAACTTCTGTCACGGATGAGGGCATCATTAAGGCAAGTGCAGTCATTCATAGTCCTGTGCAACTTCGCAAGCTTTGTTGTCCCAAGAGGTCGCCTCAACAGCAGATCTCTCCTTCTCCACAGCCATCAGATTCTGGGCGACCATCCTTCGATGTTGAGACCCCTACCACATTATCTTGTTCCTGTTCTAAAATGGTGGATAACTCACGCTGCGAAGCAAACGCCACTTCACTTCGCCTCTCCGCAAGTATTCCTGACGACCGACGCCAGCGCCCAGGGCTGGGGCGCGCAATTGAAAGACCTTTATCTTTCGGGGACATGGAAGGTACAGGAAAGGGCTCTTCATTGCAATCTTTTGGAAATGTTGTCAATAGAAAAGGTAATTCTTTCTCAGAAATCTCAAATCTCGGGGACCTCTATGCAAATTTTATCAGACAACCGAACAGTTGTCTCTTACCTCCGCAACGAGGGGGGGACGAGGTCTTTACCGATGCTTCAAATGACTTATCGAATACTGAAGTGCAGTGACTCCAGAGATCGACTTATTTGCGTCTCGAAAAGCGCATGTAGTCCCAAGGTACGTAACTCTCGATCAGACCGATCCTCGGGCAGTGTTTGTGAACGCGTTCAGCCAAACGTGGAACTACAGCATTGCATGGCTGTTCCCTCCACCCAGTCTCGTCCCACGTGTCCTGGCCCATTTGAACAAAGCGACAGGGATCTACCTTTTTGTGGTTCCCAGATGGAAGAAGGTGTTTTGGCGCAGCGACCTGGAAAGTCGAGCCCTGGCGTCTCCAATAGAAATCAACAATCTTCACGAGGTATTGATAGATGTAAGAACTCTGAATCCGCCACCGAATGTCAAGCGAATGACTTTAGATGTTTGGAAAATACGGGTTGGAATACCATGTTAGACTCTTGGAACGATGACCAAAAACTTTTATTGTCAAGCAGTTGGAGAAAAACTACCTTACAGTCCTATAAACCAGCATGGCATAGATAGTGTAGTTGGGCTAACGCTAATAATGTGCTAGCATGTAATCCCAATCCCCAAGATTTAGCCAGATTTTTGACAGATTTATGTTTGAAAGAGAGGTTGTCATATAGCTCAATTGCCCTTCACAGATCAGTCGTAACTATATTCTGCCCACAACAGCCTCCCCTTAGCTCATACACGATTGTTAAACAGATCATTAAAGCTATTGGCTTGCGCAAGCCTAAGTCATCTAGGCGGCCTATATGGGATGTAAAAATATTGTGTGATTATCTTAAATCTAATGAACCTATCAGTAATAGTTTATATGAAGTATCTTACCGGTGTGCTATATTGTTGTTGTTGTATTCTGGTCGTAGGGTTCACGATTTGACTCTTTTGAAAATAGATGATCAGAACTGCTTAGTTAGTGAGAATCGGGTGGTATTATGGCCTACATTTGGCTCCAAGACTGATTCAGCCACATACCGAAAGTCGGGTTGGAGATTACTAGAATGCCAAGAAAACAAAAACATAGATCCTGTTTTTTGGTTAAAGAAATTGATTTTAGTCTCCCAGTCCAGGCGCGGTAATTTAAATAATCTTTTTATTACTACAACTGGTGTAACATAGCCCGTTACGCGTACTGTTATAGGAAATTGGGTGAAATCCGTTCTCAGTGATGCTAGGATAGAAAGTACCCCCGGCAGTGTTAGATCAGCTGTAGCTTCGGCAAATTGGCTAGACAATCATAATATAGATGATATTTTGTCCCGTGGTAATTGGAAATGTGCGACGACATTTCACAAATATTATAAAAAAGAAGTGCTTCGTGACCGTCAATTTAGTTCTAATGATTTATCTAGTTGTTTTCAACCAATTGTAGGTTAGGACATAAGGATAAATTTGTTATTTTCGTTCATTTTATTACTCCAGTGAATATAATTATTATTGATCATTACTATGATTACATCACATTGATTAGCTTTGTTTGGCACATAACCTGATATTAAATATATATATTTTTATTTCCATAATTTACTTATTAGATTAGCTAAATACTGATTATTTTAATAAGAAGTATTTTTCACATTGGTGTTTCTTGATTTTTCCCAGCAGCCGATAACAAACACTTCTCAATTTTAAAGGCTTGGAATAGGGGACAGAAGCTTAATTGGGAAATTTTACCTGAAAAAAAAAATTTAATTAAGCTACTTACCCTATTCCAAGCCTTATTTATATTGCTGCCTGCTGTTTAATAGACTTTGATTACAGGTTTCAGGATCGAGGTATGTCAATTGTTATTAATTTCTTAGCTATAAGTATAATAGTTGCAGGATGTTTTTCCAGTAGGTGGTGAACAGCTGATCATGTATTAATCGACATGCTCTCGCCATCGCCATACCTCTTTTTTGTGCGGCTAACGATATAAAAAATATCGTTGGGTTCGCCCATGGTACGGCTCACATGCCTACCTAATGTTATCGCCACCAGTACATACTATACTGTGGCAACACAGTCTGTCTCGTTCTTCTCATAATAAGACGGTTCTGTAAAATTGAGATCCAATGAGCCGATCGCGCCAGCCGCGCACGGCTGCTGGAAATTGTGTATGGGTGCGGCCAGAGTGCACTCAGATTCAGATTCAGATTCTGAAAACAAGTGCGAGAAATAAACAGTGTAGTCTAAGCAGGTTGCCTGCTTTTTCTCGCGCTTTGTTTTCTGAGTCTGAATCTGAATCAGGAGTGCACTCTGGCCGTACTGTTTATTTCTCGCGCTTGTTTTCAGAATCTGAATCTGAGTGCACTCTGGCCGCACCCTATGGTGGGGGGAGTGCCATAGATAGTAGAGGACAACTGATGACGAATGCGGCCGCTAGGGGGCGCCTTTGTGCGTGTTCATATGTCAAGACAGGGTTGCCATCTCAATTTTAAAGGCTTGGGATAGGGTAAGTAGCTTAATTAAAATTTTATTTTCAGGTAAAATTTCCCAATTAATAAGACACACTATACAGTCGTATTTTGTTTGTTTTATATAAAGTAGGTACCTATGCTTATAAAAAGTTTAGCCAAGCATATTTAATTGAATCAGAATAAAATTATTATAGATAAAATAGTACTTTATAGTGTAAGTGTGTAATGTTGGTGATTACCGCTGAGGTGCCATTGAGACCAGAGCCGTTAGGTAATCATCAATACACACAAGTATCATACGACGTTTTTTAACACACTTGTTAAGAAAATAATACTAAAAATCATTTTATAGAATATAAAAAGTTTATTTAGAGAAACAATTTGTAAATGTGCAGTTAGTAAAATTAGTGATAGGTATCTTCACTAAAAGCATCTGGCCATGGTTCTTTATGTGACAATTGTAATACTAAATGCACTGTACTTACATAGATGCCTTGTCGTTTCTCTGCTCCGCAGAGCAGAAATCGGGGTTTAGTGCAACAAATTCACCAACCATCAATGCGTCAATTCTTGGCAGATTTGTGCTTTCTGCTTTCACAAAGCCGGCATCCATAATTAGTTTTGTCAAAAAAAACCAAGTTTACTGTTTTTTCTTTCCTAAAGTTAAAAGTGTTTTAAGATAAATTTAGTCAGACGAAAGAATCCACCTACAGTAACACGCGAATGACATTTAGTTGTTTACCACAAGAGACGTCAAAATCATGGCGGATGTGGCGAACAGCGTTTTTAGTGTTTAAAAAATATAGACTAAAAAATATTTTTTTAAATTAAATTTCTACAGCATCTTCTGCTTTTATGAAGTGAAATCGATATATTCAGGTTCCTTAGACTAAATACTTTAAGAAATAAACATTTATTTAATACAATTCGACATGAGTAAACTAGCCTATTATAATAGGAGTCGCTTGGAATCAAAGACGGCAATCTGACTTTTTGGCATTTTCGACTATGATACATTGGGACCAATTTTGGCGTTACATTCTCTAAACCTAAACTTAAAATTAGAGTGCTAATTTTAGTTTAGGGTTAGAGAATTGGTATTCTGAAATTGCTAACTAACTTAATTAAAGAGAACAGTTGACAGCTGTAAACGAGCATCTAAATTGAATTCACAGATTATGTAAAAGCATTGAACCGGTAATTATCGGTTTATTCAAATTAGCAATAATTACTTATTATTCAGTGATTTTGACTTATTGACGTGACAACGTCTTAAATTAGGTTGCGGCTGGGAGTCACTTATGAAAAAGTGTAACGCTCGGTAACGTTACGATGAGTCTCTCGTGTTAAGTTTAAGTTTACATGTACAATGTTTTAGTAAACAAAATATATTTCTATAGTTAAAATTTGTGCAATTCTTATTTTCATTCAATTCCTTGTTCCTATTGTGCAATTTAATTATATTCATATCAATAAATATTCTACCGAGAAAAAGACGTTGTCACGTAAAATCTTCGCCCGTAAAACCGACTTTACAGGCAACCATTTTTTTTTTATTTTATTTAAGTAAATCTTTGTTGTTTTTCATCATCTTTGAAATATGAAAACTTAACATAACTTTGTTATTTTACTGTATGAGAAATTATGAATCAATAATATTAAAGAGTGAATACTTGCCTACTCTGTGGTACTTAGGGTTTCTAGATTGGGAGTGTTTATCCTTATTTTTGGGAAAAATAAGAACTTGGAGAAATGTAATCTGCGGGGAGAACTTAAGGAATCATATTTTTTCTTTGAAAAAGCCAAGTATTTACTTGGACTAAACGATGTGACGAAAAAAAATTACAAAGTGCATCGAACGAGCAATTAGGTAGGTACCATTGCGCCGTGATGCAGTCTAATCATTCAGATGAAGTAAATAGGGTAAGTGTACTCGTCCGAGCAAAAACGTTTATTGTTTTGTCTGATGTATCACTACGATTGCCCGGCGGCACCGCGCCGGCGCTGTATTCATGCAACGGGCCGTGGCCGAGCCGAGGCGGGACCAAGTTTTTTCCGAGCGTTGTTTCATTTGTTGCTCGGTTGTCAGTCGGTTACTGCATGACAACCGAGCATATAGCGTGTAAATAGCGTGAATGTTATATTTTACATGGATTATGGACATAATCCATGTAAAATAAATTATTTAATATTAGTTAACTAGAGAAGTTCGATGGCGCAGACGATTAGCTCGTTCGGCTGCGATCGTTGAAGTTAAGCAACTTTCGCAGTGGTCGGTCATTGGATGGGTGACCAAACATCTTCTATGTCGAGTTCCTCGTTCTCCCGGCTGCATCTGCAGTCGTTAGCACCCGCCAATCCGCACTGGGCCTGCGTGGTGAGTCATGGCCTAATCTCTCTATTTCATCCATAGGGAAGGCCTGTGCCCCAGCAATGGGGACATTAATAGGCTGATGATGAAGATTAGTTAACTCTGCTACGGCCGACAGGGTCTAACGTGAACCATCCTTGAAAATTTCTCGCATCGTAAATTCCCAATCCAGCGTATCTATCTAATACCTATAATTTCGGTTTCGGTAAGAGGTTGTAAAATTATCCCTTCGGCTGTTTTGTGAAATATTCTCATTTATTGTATAATCCGAGATGCGTAACCTATTTTTATCTTTTTTGCTTCTATCAGTTTTTGGCGAGATCATCCCAATTATTCATTTGGTGAAGATGCCCAGTTTAGGATATATAAAAACAAACTTTTTTACAAACAGTAGGTACTTATTTCGTGTTTGGTTATCTTAAGCAATATGATTAGCTTTTAAAAAGTTGCAAATAAAAACATTTCTAACTAATAGGTATTAAAAACTGCTTCATAGAAACAAAACCACATAAAACAAAGGAACAAATAATACATTAAAGTCAAAACAACATTTGGATTGCAATTGGTAATTGGAATGCAAATCACTGACACCATACCTCTATTATCTTGTTAATTATTTGACTATGTACTTTAGATATAATTAGGATCTGTAAGTATTACTTATAGAATTAGTACATAGATTTTTTACATTTTTAGGTTGTTTTTATATGAAGTGGATTTTTATTCATGTTATATAAGATTTTACCTTAAATTATTTAGTATTTTATACAAGATATACGTGTACATTACATACGAAAGACCACAATAGCGCAAGTGTAACGCTTTCGTTCTGCGATCGTGAATGTTAAGCAATTTTCACAATGGCTGATCTTAGGATGGGTGACCAACCCAAAATGTATTAAATCGAGTTCCTATGTTGCTGCTCGCTGCAGCTCGGATTTATTATAAGCATGACACATTAATAGGCTTATAATAAATCCGCATCGTAACATAGACCCACCTACCTTTTTAAAAAAATAAAAGATCTAGCTAATATATTATTATCACCGTCGTTGTTCATTATTGTATAAAATTTATGTCTTTTTTTAACGAAATAAACCCATATCCAACCTTAACAACAAGTTCAAAACTTAAGTACAGCAATCATTTACGTGATATTTGGCCCCAATTATTCACATTTAAATTTAGAGAGGACCTCCGTAGGTCCTTCTTAAATTTAGTGTGACATTTCTAATTTTAGAGAAAATATGACATTTAGAACGCGTTTCAGAATACCATTTCATCATCTAAATCTAAGTTGAATAACTTAGCAAACGTCAATTTTAAATTTAGAGATAGAGTGTCATTACAGAATACCAAATTGAATTTGACAACTCTATATCTAATTTTAGTTAGTTTTAGATATAAGTTGGCACGCCAGAATTGGGCCCATTGATGTTAAATTTAGTTTTAAGTTTAGAGAATCACGACAGAATCGACACCATTGTTCTAGATCTGTGCCGGGTGCGGAGACGTAGTGAAGTCCCTCGACGGGGATCTCGCGGGTCCGCACTAAACAGCGTAGAGGGTTTTCGCAGGATTTTTCAGCGGATAGTATGCGCTAAACGCTCGTGAGCCGCGCAGACTGCTTAACGACTTTTCCGTTTCTCACCCGTGAGACTTGCGAGAGGCTAGGTGTGAGGTTTTTTCGTTGGTGTGCTTATTAAGGGAGGCAACGTCTGTAAACAGAGGTTTTGCCTATCTAATAAAAAAAGCGACAATGCTAGTATTTAAAAAAACAGTCTTGTATTAATGTCTTTATATATATTAACTATATATATTCCTGGTTATTATTTTATTTCATTTAATTTTTATATTTTGATACAGAGAAATATCGGATCTTGGCTTTGCCTTGAATCGATTTATTTGGAATTGCGATTTACATTGGGCATCCCTAAACCGAAAATCAATCGACGGATGTCACAGAGTAGGACGTCCGTGCGCACTTTTATTGTTTTGGAATGTAAATAAATAATAGGACTAGACCCCTAACAATGAAATTGAAGAAAGACTAGATTTAAATTCTTATTTTTGGCTCGTATTTTGCCTATTAAATGTAAATATGAATGTTTATACTGTATAAAGTACAATTATATTTATCCACAATGAAGTGGATTTTAATATGTTTATTTCCAATTGTTTCTGTCCTTACTTGGTATGTTCCTTTAGTATGGAACATGATTTATTTGTTACTGTGTGCTGTATTCGTTACTTTAGTAGTGTTTCTGGTTACACTTTGGGCCCATGTCGCGCTTTCTTCTCCACATCAAACTTCTCTATTTTTAATAGAAAGAGTGGAAAAAGATGTACGTGAATTGGAGCAATACCTAAAAGTACGTATTAAACATGTAAATAATTGATTTTCTGAATGTATGTATGGCTTATTAATATTTTGTTGAACTGTATAAATTATTTTATTTCATGGTATAATATTTTTGGTATTACAGGAAGATGACAACAATTGGCCTCGTATGACTAAAAAGAATCATTTACCTGTTATATTTGGCCGCACAGTAGATAGCCAGTTGCAGCAACTGATAGATTTTGTCCTCCGAGACTTTGTTACGTGTTGGTTAAAAGAATTATCTCATAAACCAGACCCAGTAATAGATAAGTTCAAAGAACACACATGGGGTGCAATTCAAAATCTGTATGAGAGACTATTAAAGGTAGATGCAGAAAAATTACTTGCTGGCGATATGGTTACCAAAATTACTCAACATTTTGAAAGAATTAGAATTGCAAGAAGCTGCGCGTAAGTATAATATTATGTTTATGTGTTTGGTTACCAAATCTGATATCTTCCTAAGGAAAATCTCAGATAATAAAAGTAGATAAGTCAGGTTGATGCATCAAGTGCATTCCTTACCATATGGGATTATATGGCAATGAGGAAGATGATGATGTTGCTTTTGGGTGATGATTCCCTATTAAATGGACATATTAAGTGCTGGTTTACAGAGTTCAATTTAGATAAAACAATTATATTGTACTTCATAGTTGTTCCTTAAAATGAGTGTCTAGAGAGGCTGGCATAATCACTACTAGTGGCTGAGGCCTCAACAAAAACTAGGTGACTCTACAATAGATTAAAGGTTTAATTTAAGAATATATATTTACAACTGGGATTTTATTTTTGAAATGTTAGAGAATGAGTAATCTCAAATTATAATAATACATATTTAAATACTAATACTAAATTACAAATTAACAAATAAACTTTATTACACATAATTCTTTGTACAAACTGTGATTGCTTTGTGTTAATAACCTGAAGTATCATCTTACAAAGTAGATTTAAATAATTTCAAAACTGAGCCTTAAATGTGACAATATGACCATTTCAACAATAAAAAAAAGTGTTATATGTGATCATCACTGAAAAATACAGTGACTTTCTCCAATCTGTGAGCAAAGTAATGACAGTTTTGAAAGTAAGTTTATTCCTACTTTATTGCTACTATGTTCCTACTATTTTCATTACTATAGTTGGAAAATACAGTTTATGTAGCAACTATTAATTTCATTAATCAATCAAAGGCCTGATGTAAAATACGACTAAAAAAACACTTTTTTTTTTTTTTATTGAACAGAGTCTAAATCCCTAAAAAATATTCAGCATTCATTGGCAGAATCGTATTTACCCTAGGGCCAAGAGGGTGACGCGGTGAAGTCCAAGTCCAACAAGGGGTTTTTAGCGGATAGCATGTCGTAAGCGCTCGTAAGCCGCAAGGACTGCCTATCGGCTTCTCCGTTTCGCACCCGTGAAACTTGTGAGAGGCTAGGTGTGAGGTCCGATTGTTGGTGTGCTCCTTAACGGCGCCAACGACTATAAATAGGGGCCGTTCATAAAATATGTTCGCATACAACGGGGGGGGGGAGGGGTCTTGCTAGGTGTGACAAGATGTGACAAGGGGGGACGGGGGGTCTACGGCAACGTGACGTTCGTCGTTCATTAAAAAAATTTAAATTAGTATTTCTTTCAACTATTTTTCTTTCTCAATTTTCATCAAGATAGAAAATCATTTATTTCGTATTTAGTAAACATATAAACATTCAAACGTATATAGTTTTATTATACAATAAATTGTAACTTGATATATTTACTCATGTTTATTTTTCGACATTAGCGCATATTTATATATTTAAATTTTATTATAAAAACTAAATAAATATTTAAATTCTTAAAATTTGTGTACTATCAATTGAAATTAATCATACTTGGGGAGGGGGGCGGTCTCCGTTTTTGTGACGGAATATTTCAAGAGGGGTCACAGAAAGTGTGACACAGCGTGACAATAGGGGGGGAGGGGGTCGGAAAAAGCTGATTTTAGCGTGACGTATTTTATGAACGGCCCCATAGAGGTTTTGCCTGGATAAAAAAAAAGAAAAAAGGGTCAAGAGGGCCATGGTCCAGGGCGGCAGGCTGTGAGGGGCGGCGACAAGCACTGTGAAGGCGCTAGTTAGCGAGACGATTTCTAACTGGACCGGCGCCAGGCAGCTGCCTGGCTAAGCTTGTTCATGAGCACGGTTTGTACGTTTGTACCGAGCCCAAACCGTCGCTAGCACCAGTGTTGTTAATATGTAGACAAGTTGTAAAACCTTGCATAGACCTATGTAGAAATCATCTGGTTAGCAAGTGCCCTGAGGGGCAGTAGTATTATTCGTTACTGACCTATACTTTGATTAATCCAAATCGTAAGTGGCCTAGGGTACCAGATTTTAGAATACTCCCCACCTGGCGTGAACACCGATTTCCGGGGAGTTTGTCACTGGTCGTGTCCGGCAAAACATCCAGACCGGATTAATGTGGACGAGCTCGCACCGGTATCCCTGATCGCGACGTTCGTACCCCACCGCGAGTCGTTTATCATATCGTTCGAGATGAGGGCTGATTCCAGTTTTCTTGCGGGTCACACCTAGTCCAGGAGTCCATTCCGCTAAATTTTCCAGTCTGGAATATTGGGAATGAATTATATAGACGGAGACAGCTGCTTACATCACAGTCATCAGATTAATAAAACTGCCAGCCAGAGACCAATGGGCGCCTTGTAATAACTGCAGTTCCATGGCAGCGATATAGCCGTCCGTGGCTATGTTGTTCCCTTGGTAGCAGGTCAAAGGTGTGGAGAGATGTGCATTGCTTTTTACCCCCTGTCCGTGGGGACATAATGCCAACACGTCTTACGCATATATTACTTGAGTTGCTGCTAGCATATGCGGTCGTACGCACTAGCAGTTAACCACTACAGAATTTACACTAAAATTAAAAGGCGGCTTACGTGGTTGAGCCAGTGCGTATGAGCGTTATTATGACTCTTGCGACTTCGCCCTGGATTATCAATTAAGGCAAGCCAGGGTTGACATTCTGCAGACCCTCTTAGATTTCACTCCGGTAAGCCAGAGATGAGGGCCTTGTTTGGTTCTCAGGAGCCCTCTCATTACCCGTGGTTTCGCCACTGACCAACTGTTTGCAAAAAATGTAAACAGCCTGTTTATCAATAGTCCATAGTTGCTTTTTTATTGTTATTTAAATTTTGATCATGGGACAACAGGGGTAATTTATTGTGGAGCCACCATTTATAAGAAAGAACTGTATTTGGCATTAATCAATATTTTATATTTATTTATACCTCCTCCTCCATTACAATGAATTCCTTCCTGTTTTTTTTTATTCTTTCCCATCACCAAAATCCATACTAGCCAGTTGTTCTACAGTTTTACCAATTTTAAATAGTTCATATATGATGAATAATTTTGTTTACAGATTGGAATTAAATCAGACACCAGTGTTTGCATTAGCTCCTCACTTGATGTCATGTGAAACAGAACTTCACTATTTACGACAGATTAGTGAGCTCATCATTATGTTCCTTTTACCGCGTTGTTACTCACTTTCACCTACATCACATTTAATGAGAGAGATTCTGGCATGCAAAGGTATGGTAAATAGACTATTTTGTTAACAAACTACCTAAGTACATAAATATTACTTTAATCTCAAGTAAAACCTAGATTGTTTTAAAAGAATGTAGCCTTTGAGCTTGAAATTTCGTTGAATTTTCTCTTCTTCTATACTGCAAATAAGAACTCTTCTACCAGTACTTCCTGCCGTTGGAGCCGAGACGTGACCTCTCGCAACATGCTAAATCATAAAATACTCGTTTGGCGAGCTACAGAATATGCTAGAATGTTCTTTCTATACAGTATTTTTTGTTAGCAAACTGAGGCGCACGATTTTGTGAGTGGAGAACTTCGAATCGAAAGTGTAGTCCCCTTGCAATTGCAACTAAGGCGCCGTCTTCACAGCGTCGGTGCGACCTAGTTTCGTTTTCGTTCCTGTGCCGAATCTGTATAGATTCTTTGCCCAGTGCATATTATTAAAAGAGAGCTTCCTCATTGAGTAGTTTTAGTACAGAATCTTTACTGAGCGGATACACAGCTGTCTGTACCGAGTGATAACGAGTTTTTCCGAATTCTACCAAACCATTCGACTCGCTTGTCCCGTTACTCTCGAAAAAAAATCGTAGATTACAAAACGCACCAAAAAAACGCGCCGGTCAAGAAGTGTTTCTCGGTAATGAATCTGTACAGATTCGGTACAGAAACGAAACCGCACCGACCCGTAGGCCTATATGCTAACTGTTTTTGACAGATGGAAGGGATAATCACCGAGCTATTTAGTGATCTCCAACTGCTTTATTAAATCGCCACTAATATACTTACAAGTATATTACAGTGTACACACTGTAGATGTCAGAAAAGTTAGCGTATAGGCCGGCAGGTCAGAATGGCGCTTAAGCCGTGTAGCGATGTAAACTGAAAAGGTAGACGGGAAGTTTGTATTACGTTCAACGATATTAAATACCGTAGATACACCAAAATGTGCCCGAAACCTGTCCAAAAGGTACATTGAACGATCCACGGAGCTCCGTAAGATGATCGCGTATTCAAAATCAATATAAGGCATTATTTAAATATTGAAAGTAACCTTTAATACATACTGTATAAGGTCTTAAATAAAACGCATGCGTCAAGGACTTCTGACAGTTCGAAATGCAAGCTCGTAAAATTTTACGACTTATTGCTATATGCGGAATAATTTAGACCTTAGTTCTTAGACTACGCGCAATAGGCTAGTTGACTCATGTCGAATTGTAATAAATGTTTATTTCTTAAAGTATTTGGTCTAAGGAACCTAAATATATCGATTTCACTTCATAAAAGCAGAAGATTACTGTAGGAATTTAATTTAAAAAAAAAATTTTTTAGTCTATTTTTTTAAACACTAAAAACGCTGTTCGCCACATCCACCATGATAGTGACATCTCTTGTTGTAGTAAACAACTAAATGTTATCGCGTGTTACTGTGGGTGGATTCTCTCGTCTGACTAAATTTATCTTAAAACACTTTTAACTTTAGAAAAGTTTCCGTTTACTGTTTTTTTGGACAAAACTAATTATGGATGCCGGCTTTGTGAAAGCAGAAAGAACAAATCTGCCAAGAATTGACGCATTGATGGTTGATGAATTTTTTGCACTAAACCCCGATTTCTGCTCTGTGGAGCAGAGAAACGACAAGGCATCTATGTAAGTAGAGTGCATTTTGTATTACAATGTAGTAATAAACATAAAACTGATACAACATATGAATAAGTGTAATAAAGTTGCGTAGGTTAATTTCTTTCGGCACTTTAATCCACAACTTTCCTGGAGTCTACAAGGATGTTTTTATATTCTCGTAGAATACAATAATGATAATTACTTTATTTTTCGTGGTATTTATTAGAAATCATGGTTTTTTTTATTATAAACTGAGATAAGTTATTTTCTACGTGCTTACGAGTTTTTGTTTACTACAGGTTGATTTCATAGCATAGATAATCTATAGACTAAAATGGCCGACAGCGTTTTTGTATGTCCATGAAAAGTCTATTTTAAAATTAAAGATTTGTAGCTTTCTAGGTCTCAATAAAATACAATAGGTACATTTTTTTCGGTCTATAATAACATTTATTAACCATTTAAAACCTTTTTCCAAAATGGGTCAACTAGCCTATTCTGAACGGGCTGTTAGCAATATAGCAGGCACGGACCGCGAGGAAAAGAGACGACTATATGGCGACGTATAACCGACCATGCATTTGAATATAACAAATATTTTATATTAAATCAGTTTATAGTAAGTATTACATCATAATTTACTTCAAATGCGTTTAATTAACAAACTGACTAGATACCTGTGGAAAAACGACATTTTTCGTACTCTAAATATTATTCTCACATTTTTTCGCGGAGCTCTGTGGCATCTTGACTTTGTAATGGTCCGCGCGTGACTGTGAACCAAGAAGTGCTTGGGTGGAGTTCAAGCACTTGAATTCCACTCAAGCACTTCTTGATTGGGACACATTTTGAGCGCTCGTGGTGTATCTAGGGTATTTAAATTCCTTAAATTTTTTAACCTACCTATTGTATCATAGGTATACTAGTGGGCGCCAGCGACTTCGTCTGCGTAGTATATGCAATTTTTCTTTCAAAATCATCACCAATTTCAGCCCCTTCAAGATTTATTTTCACCACAAAAACCAGCCTTTGTTTTTCATCGAATTCCCGCTAATCTTCATGCAAAAAAATTAAACGAAATTGGTTTAGCGGTATTCACGTGAAAGCGTAACAGATTGACAGACAGAGATACTTTCGCATTCATAATATTAGTAGTACCAGAAGTGTTTTAAATTCAGCATTATTCTATAGTACCTAATGTTAGCAGACTTAGCATTCAGTATTATTTTATGATAGAAGTAAAAGAAGTGTGAAGACTATTCCCCACCTTTTTGGAAATCAACATGAACATATGTATATCTAAATTATGTATTTATTGCTTGTAGTTTTACAACCAGCAATAGATCTTATTACCGAGCCTGATTATATTAATCAAAAGATAATCCAATATTTGGAAGCTCAGAAGGAAGTAGACGCCATGCATGTACGCACGCACGAGTATGCGAAGACATTCGAGGATTACATAAGGCTAATAACAAACTGCAATAATGTCGACACTCTGAAACGGTTACGGTTGGTAGCTTTCAGTAACATTACATTCGCTTAGTAGTTTATTAATTACGAAAATACAGGTTTATTGCTTTCATGCTATGACTAACAACGCAATGCACCTATTCCATGATAAAGGTATATTGGTAATACGACAAAGATTTTTTTAACTTTAATCTGTTGTTATGATTAAAATTGAATTTAATTTGTGAAAATACTGTTATTATGCGGAATGACCTCCATGACATTGCTCCTCTACACGATGGGGCATCGCAATGGTCCTCTATGATGGGCCAACGTGTGAGGGCGTAGTAGTGTCGGGTGGCTTATGGCCTGTGCGATGGACTTATGATGTATGGCTGCACAACAAAGGTAGTGGGTCAGCGATGGTGGTATGCATCTACATGTGGCCCATCCACAATGCGTGCTCGAACGTGATTTAATGTGGACGTTCGTTTTCTTTATTAATAAATTTATTAGTTTATTGACGACCTCTGTGGCCGAGTAGTTTGTACGCCGGGTTTCATGGTGTCGCCAACTCGAGAGGTCCCGGGTTCAAATCCCGGTGGGAGCAGATGTTTGTGTGATGAATGAGAGCATTTGTACTCCAGTCATGGATGTTTAATATGTATTTCTATAAAAATATACTTATATATGTACATTATATGTAGAATACATATCCGTTACCCTAGTATCCCATAACACAAGCCTTATAGTGCTTATTTTGGGGCTAGGCTAATTGGTGTGAGTGTTGGAAATATTTATTTATTATTTATGAGATATAATACTGTATAATACAAGTTTTATACAATTTCTTAATTTTTTGTTCACATTTACATACATGTAGTATACTTGCATCAAACTTGTTGTTTATACAAAATATGTAAAGTAAATAGTGATTTATACTTGTAAGATACTCGTTGTCTATGTCTAGTGTAAACGAAAGAATGTCACAACAAATCTTCTACATGTTTTGTGTAAAACTAGTATATAACTTGTTTCTTGGTGTAAACGAGGCAATAGAGTTACTAAAATGAGATCATATATACAATTTAAAGAAAATTAAATTTACTTATGATAGGTAAGTACTTAGTTCTATTGCGATGTATAGATAACTTCCATCAATTTCTACGGAATTTTTTATGTTAAGAGGATGGCAAAGAAGCATATGGTGCTCCTGATGGTAAGTGGCCACCATATCCTATCCTATAGTATAGACGCTTCCGATACCAAAAATATCATTTGCACTGTTGCCTACCCTGACTCAATTTTGACGACCTCCGTGGCCGAGTGGTTTGTACGCCGGCCGACTCGAGAGGTCCCGGGTTCAAATCCCGGTAGGGGTAGATGTTTGTGTGATTAATACTAGCATTTGCATTCCAGTTATAGATGTTTAATACATATTTCAATATAAATATACTTATATATGTACAGTATATGTATTCTATCCGTTATCCTAATATCCTATAACACAAGCCTTACAGTGCTTACTATGGTGCTAGGCTTAATTAGTGTGAGTGTTGGAAATATTTATTTAATCCTCTACCCCGTGGAGCCGTGGAACCTTATCGTCACCGACCGAAACACAACATCACCAAAAGGCAATGTTATTTTACCCCAGACGGGGCGCTCCAATCCGAGCGGAAAATCAACTATGCGTTACTTCTCTTAAAATTTCTTTTTAATTACTTTATTCTTGTGCACATTAACAAAATAATGGTACATGCTGTATAGACATATTTTCGCAGCAGTTAATGCTTCCACGTCCATCTCGAAAAACGTTAAGATCTCAAGTGATTGTCGCCATCGTGTAGTTGCGTTTCATCCATCGCATGGCCATTTGCTGGGCTAGCGCTGGCCCATTGTACACATATAGAGGAGGCATTATATTTTATAATAACTTATTAGGTGAACATGGAAGACTATTAATTTTCTGCTAATATCTCCTCCAGAACTTGTATTCACAACTCGGATGTCGCGAACACAATTCTATTTTTTACCTTGCTATGCCAAATTAGAATTAGTAATTATTATGATTTTTTCTAATCGGAATATGCAACTGTCTTACAGGAAATGCAGGTGTTGAGCAAGATGAATTTTATTGTGTTCACAGGTACGATATTGTTAGTCAAATAATGCAAGCAACTACCTTACAAAATGTGAAACGGGCTAAAGGCATAGACATAGACGTTATAGAGAAAAGTGGAGTGCAGCAGAACGTGAGCAGACAACAAATTAACGACGCAAAGAAACTAAAGAGGTATATTAGTCAGTTGACTATTGCTAAAGCCGAGTGCGAACTGGCTCTGAGAAAATTGGGATGGGATGGAGCTTTCCCGACTGTCGAGTCCAATAGTAAGGTATCTATAATGAAATTTCTTGTTCCATGTTATTTTAGACTTTTATATAGTATGTATTTCACAAGACGCAGGGCAGAGTTTACGTTGGTTACTTTCATAGCATTATGACATATGGTCTTTTGTTGTGGGGCTTAGCTGCTAATGTCGATACTAATTTCATACTGCAAAAGAGAGCTGTTCGCGCCATATACAACTTGAAGGCATAAGATTCTCTTAGAGATAAATTTAAAGAAATTAATATTTTAACAGTGGCATCGCAACACATTTATGAAAATATAATGTATCTAAGTAAAAACTATGACGCAGTTGCAATAAAAGTCAAATCCATTACTGTAACACGAGATTTAAGAACAGGCTTACCGTTCCATGTTTTAGATTCCAAAAATCAAGAGGTTCATTTTGTGAGTAGTATAATAATACTACCCACAAAAGAATGTACTGTTTAATAAAGTTTCCCAAGATCTGATTGAGCGTCGTCTGGCCAAATTTAAATTTCAGATCAAGAATACTGTTATGAGTAAGGGCTAAGTTCAAGTTGATGATTATCTTCATGATCGTAATGCATGGAGAAAGTGTTTCTTGTAATATAATTATTATTAGACATTTTTTATAACAATAATGTGTTATCTGAAGCTGCTTCCTATATACCTAAAAATGTAAAGCTGACTATAAAATTTAATGTATATCGCTATATTATGTAATGGGAGGTGACTTCAGAATTAGTAATTTTCCAACTTGACGACTCTGTATATAATAATACAGGGAGAAAAAAACCGCCCTTGCTGAGTTTCTTGCCGGTTCTTCTCAGTACAAGGTCTCCCGCCGTAGTTTTGCAAACCGATGGCGTAGCGTCTTAACTTTTACAAGTGCTTGTTACAACCTAGACTGAATAAATAATTTTTGATTTTTCGCCGCTCTTCATAAATACGCCCCTGGGGCACAGCATATTTTACGCTCGTTTTGGCGCTATATAGCAGTCATCACCCGAATTTTACAAAAATCTGCAGCCAACACCGGACAATGGTTTCCTAAGTAAGGTGTTTTTGTATTTATTTTCCAAATAAGGTGTACTTTCGCAACTTTTAAAATTTTCATTCCTTAGCTATCTACATAGAGATATTCTTGGAGAGCTTTTATAAATTATCATGCTATCTTCCTATGTAAGGTGTACCTTGACAGCAATTATATATGTATAGTATTGATTTCCTGGCGTTTCTGTAAAAAGTAAAGTACTTATTATAAAACGAAATATGCCTTACAAATTTGCCAATTTCAGACTCTTCCTCTACATAAAATCATGGAAAGCGTAACGGGGCGCCGTTATTTGTCAATGTTCCTGGAGACTATGTGTTCTCAAGGCCTAGTCGGTTTCTGGACAGCAGTAGAAGAGCTAAGGCACAGTCCTAGGAGTAGCTGGCATCAGTTGGGTGCGGAAATATTTTACACTTACATAAGGTCGCCTAGTGCGGAGCTTAAAGTTGATAAGGTAAGCTCATCGGAAAAATAAGCGCTCGTGTATGCTCTATTTATGAACTAAGGCGAAAAGAAGTTATCTAGAATAAGGAGCTTTAGTCTCTTTTTCCGAAAGGAAATTTCGGTAACTAACGAATTTAAAACGAAATTTCGCCAGTGAATTTACTCTATTTCATTTTCGATCACGCACATAAAGTGCGATCTCACAAATAATTTTCGTGTTCTAATAGAATAAGTCATGTTTGTGAGTTCTTTTTATCTCAACTTTTTGATTACGTTTTTTACTTGGAAACAATATTATTACTTTACGAAAAAAAATTAGAGAACATTCTTTGACAGTGTTTATTGATGCCATTGAAAGAACCTTCTTTGACAGTGTTAGCCGACTAATTTGTAGAGTTGATACAATCGATTGTATGTCAACCTAAATTTGTAGTTTAATACTTAGACGTATTGGAAATACGTTAAAACTGACATGTGCTGTTCACATGCGATAGAAGTGAAACCTACAAAAATGGGATAACGAATTAAAAAAACAAATTATTTACGTATTTTATAAATATAAGATAGAAGCTATGTAGCGATTAACGAGCAAAAAATAAATTGTTATAAACATATCAGGCGATATTGACTAATTAAATATTATACAAAATCATTATAAAACATCATACTGTTAATTATATTACTATTCAAAATTAGTAAATTGTAGCTTTTGTATTAAGACACTCAGAAAAAACTGCGATAAAATAATAAGTTAGTCCCGAGAAAAAAATATATTAAGTTGACTCAACCGGGGATCGAACTCGGTACCCCGCGAGATTGCGGGGTTGATTGATAACAAAAACACTGCTTTGCTTTTGCGATAGATAACAGTAATTGTATAGTAAAATATTTCATATTCGCAATAGATGGCGGCACTAAAAAAATAAAAAAAAACGTCTGAGGACACTTGTGTGTCCTCTTTGGGCGTTCCTGTTTTTGCTCATTAGCACGCTTTAGAAAGCATCCTTATCGTTGCTTATAGTCTCTTTATATGATATTAATATGTATGATATGGTATTAAGGCAAAATATTTAGATGGCGTTGTGAATAAAAATGCATTGCTCTCTGAACTTTCGATTTTTTTACTCAGTTTGAAGTAGGCGCTCCGCGAAAAATGGTGACGTCGTGGACGCTTCAACCGAAATTATCCCAATTTTGTAGCAAACATTTTTTTCTCATTATTTATTTTTATTTCCGTTACAATTAAAAACCTACAAAAATGTGAACACGTAAAAGTCCTTCAGCCACCCGCAGCGTTATTTGTTACCAGCAATTTTTATATTATTTCTTTTGTTATGTTTTTCTTATCTTAGGTTTTACGAAATATTTTTTTATAAAAAAATAATGTACTGTAGAAGGCTAGGCCTACTTAGACTATTGTTTGGTCTAAGTTTACACCAATTTGATAACATGGAGGCGTATCTCACAAAAAATTTAGATACAGTACATCAGTTGCAAGATATAAATGCTCCTCTAGAAGACGAATTTGTTGCAATTATCATGTTAAGTGGTCTCCCAAAAGATTTCGACCCACTAATAATGACTTTGGAAAACAACAACCTAACTCTTCCAAGTGATTTTGTAAAATCTAAACTTATGCAAGAGATACAAAGAAGAGACGGTGAGTCCAAAGTAGAAAATGCCTTGACGACAACTACAAAACGACCGAAGTGCTTTAATTGCAAAAAGTTTGGACACTATTCAAAGGATTGCAAAGAGAAAGCATCGAAGCATAAACCATCGTGCCCTTCTCAGAACAGCGAGGAGAAGATGCAGAGAACCGTAAAGACAACTTTGTTATCTGCATTAATGTCCAAGCTTGATCGTGATGAGTGGTACATCGACAGTGGTGCAACGTGTCACATGACCAATAATAGAGACATTTTAAGTAATTTTGTCTACGAAAAACCGATGCCGATTAGTGTAGCAAATGGTGATAAGCTTTATACAGCAGGTCAAGGTAATGTAAAACATTTTTACAAAATGAAGTAAGAACTCTTTATAATGTAGAATATATACAGAAGTTGTCATGTACTCTCATGTCAGTTAGTGTTTTGACACAAAAAGGTTTTGAAGTAAATTTTTTATTTAACTTTTGTAAAATTTATGATGATAATACGGTGGTCGCTGTTGCAAAAAAGAATGCTTGCGGATTATATAAATTAGAAACCGGTCATGCATCCATTAATTCTGTGGAACGCGAACATACCGCTATGCCAGTAAATACTTCTTCAGAATCCCATTTGGAAGTTCTATCCCAGGGTTTGTGGCATCGTCGATTAGTACATTTGAATAGTCGCAGCATGAAGTTACTCAGGAATGGTATGGCAGCTGGAATCGACTATGATATGTCCACATATGAGCAATGTATCGCCTGTATCGAAGGTTAGGTTACCAAATTACCTTTTCCTAAGAAATCTTTTTCACGAGCAAAGGAAGTTTTAGGTCTAATACACACCGATGTGTGCGGTTCTATGCCCGTGAAATCATTAGGCGGTGCGAGATATTTGCTAACATTTATTGACGATTTTTCGAGGAAGACTTTTTGCTATTTTATTACATCGAAAGATAAAGTTTTTGAGTGTTTTTTAAGTTTTAAAGCCCTTGTTGAGAATGAAACTGATAAAAAGATTAAAGTTCTACGAAGCGACAACGGTGGCGAATATATTAACGAGCGATTTAAAAATTATTTAAGCGAGTGGAATTAAACATCATACTACAGTTCCCCACTGCCTACAGCAGAATGCAGTTGCAGAACGCGCAAACCGAATCATTGTGGAGGCGGTGCGCTGTATGCTAATCAAAGCTGGCTTGGACCATCGCTTCTGGGCTGAAGCTGCAAACACGGCGGTATATATAAAAAATCGCTCACCCACCAAGGCAGTTAGAAGAAGTTTACACTGGATGTAAGGTAAATCTTAATAACTTACGAGTGTTTGGTTGTTTGGTATATGCTGTACAAAACAATCGTAACAAACTGGATCGCAAATCTAAGCCGTATATTTTTGCAGGATACTGTGAGTGTACTAACGGGTACAGGCTTCTAGATACTGTAAATTTTAAGTTAACAATCGCGAGGAATGTTAAATTCATTGAAAACAATTTTCTTAAAGACCTTAACATTTCTAAACAAGAAATTGTAGTCAACTTAGAAGCGAAGTCTCCACGTCCTTATGAAAATAACGAAAGTAGGATAGAATCTGAACAAATTCGAGATCCTATTGTTAACACTAATGAAAACATTGATGACAATGTATCATCATTATCATCAACTAGTAGCTCGTACGTAGATCATTCTTCAGAGGTTACTTATGATCCAGAGAATTCATTTGATTCAGATGATTCGAGAACTGGACACGAAGAAGCTGAGAACTCATTCATATGTTCATTCTTGGTTGGCGAAGCCATTGGAGCTGAAGAACCCAAGACTGTGAAAGCTGCCTTAAATGGGCCTGAAGCAGAGCAGTGGCGAGCTGCTATGAAAGATGAGCACCAGTCATTTCTAGATAACCAGTGCTTTACATTAACTGATCTACCCAAAGGTGCAAAACCAGTAACAACTAAATGGATCTTTAAGAAAAAGAGAGGGTTAAATGGTGAGCTTTTACAATATAAAGCGCGTCTTGTAGCCAAAGGTTTTACATAGAAGTACGGAGTAGACTACTTTGAAACTTTTTCGCCTGTAGTGAGATATGAAACTATAAGAATGTTGTTAGCCTTAGCTGCCGAGTATGATATGGAGATAGACCACATGGATGTTAAAACGGCTTTTCTAAAGATTTCAATGAAACCGTATTCATGGAAATACCGGAAGGCTTTGAAAAAGGCAAGGGAAAGAACAAAGTGTATCGACTACGTAAGGCTGTGTATGGTCTAAAACAAGCACCTAAAGCCTGGAATGAGAAAATAAATCGGGTAATCGTAAATAAATTAAATTTCATTAGATTATCTTCTGAGCCATGTGTTTACGTGTTGAGAAAAGGTGATAAACTAATAATCATCGCACTATATGTTGATGATTTGATCGTTTTAAGCAATTGTAAACAACAAAAGGCTGAAATTAAGCAACTCTTGATTAAGGAGTTTGTGATGAAAGATCTTGGTCCAGTAAACAAAGTTTTAAGGATTAAGAATCAGAAAGCAAAATGGTAACATTGTATTAGATCAAAGTTCTTATATACAAAAGATTTTAGAAAAATACAAAATGCAAGACTGCAAACCTATTGCGACTCCTATGCAGTGTCAAAAAATATTAAAGGCTGAAGAGAAGGATGACAGTTTGGAGTATCGTGAGTTAATTGGTTGTCTTATGTATATAGCTGTCTGTTCACGCCCAGATATGTCATGCTGTCAGTGTATTAAGTCAGTTCAACAACTGTTTTTCCGATGAACACTTGGAGAGCTGCTAAACGTGTGTTGCGTTATCTAAAAGGTACGATAGATTACTGTATTAATTATGAGAATAGTGGCTTATCTGTGACTGGTTTTGCGGATGCTGACTAGGCTCCTAACGAAATTGACAGACGTTCCTATACGGTCTATGTTTTCAAAATTGGTAATTCACTGACTTGTTGGGAAAGTAGGAAACAGCGAACAGTCGCGTTATCGAGTACCGAAGCGGAGTACATGTCGCTTTCGGATTCTTGTAAAGAGGCACTATTTATTAAAACTTTTTATAAAGAATGTATTAATACCAATGTTGATATAAAGATTTTCAATGACAACCAGTCTGCTCTTAAACTAACTGAAAATAGCATGTTTCACGGTAGATCCAAGCATATAGATATACGCCATCACTTCGTTCGGGAGGCGGTAGGCAATCGGTTAATTAAAGTAAATTTCTTGCCAACGTCCCAAATGATAGCGGACATCTTAACAAAACCCTTGTCTGCAGAAAAACACAACTATTTTGTAAAGGGTTTAGGCTTACAACGTAATTTGTCAAATAGGTAGATATCTTTACGTTAGTTAAGTTTAAGGGGCGGTGTTAGAGGTGTAAACTCAACTTAACGTTGTCTCTGACACACGTTTCCTTAGTAACGTGAAAAACGAGAAGTCTTGGAATACAAGTAATATAAGCAAGTTTGTATTTTTCATTTTTCCTCCAATACAATGTGCCTTTTGGACATGTCTCGGGCAGATTTTGTTAGTGTTGGTGTATCTAGGGTATTTAATATCGTTGCCTAGCATGCCCAAAAGAATGTCCTTTTCTATTATTTTTCAACTATTTTTTTAATTTATTCGCAATTAATCATAGTAAACGGACAATATGTTTAAAAAAAAAAGTTCTGTTACTATGAAACAGAACTTTTGAACAGACTGTAGTATCTAGATACTACAGTCTGTTCATCCTAACTTGTCCTATTTGGTAAACAATCTTGGCATCCTTTTTATTGAAAATACAGCATTAAAAATCAACTGATAACTGGATTCAATAGGTTTCAGTCTATAATAACGATTTATTATAATAGTTTATTGGCTTCGTTATTATTGTATTTTTAAATGGGTGATTTTGTAAAAAAAATGTGCCAAGATTTTTTACCTTAATAAATGCAATATAGGCGACCATAGGTATTTATCAACATAAGAATAGAACTAGGTACCTTAGTTAATAATACATATCACTAGTATTTATATTATATTTATAAAAAGATTATTTCTGAAATTATGTAAAGATAGTTTTATTTTTTATGAAAATCATAATGATAACCAGGTACATACCTTATTACTTTGAACATTTCATTTGAAAAGAAATCTATTATTACAACAGGTAGGTATAGATATCATAGGTGCCAACTGCCAACACTCAAAGATCAATATGAATATAAGCATTTATTATTTTTATTATTAATTGCATTTTATGTTCATTTAATGCATTTTATTTAAGTGTTTACATAGAGGTAAACACTAAATCTATTCAATATATATATAAAGTACATCTTTTACGATTAAGTATAATAATTATAACCTCCAAATCTATTACATTTTGTAGTAGGCCACGGTTCCTCAAGTTGTCCGTATCTCAACAAATGCCTAATTAGAGTTTATGAATGATTCCGAACACAGCTAGTATTTTCTCTTGGCTGTGCGTTCTGGGGCATTCAATGTATGGGGAACGAGCAATGTCCTTTAAATATACTATACCTTTTGTTTTTCGAAAAATAAGTAATAACTTAATAAAAAGAAACTATTACAAAAATTACACGAGCTCAGGATCGAACCACCGATCATTTGGTGTCGACCCCAAGACCGGCACCGTTCGGCTGTGTCTTATCATAAAATAATAAAATTACGGATCTTGTGTCAAATACTCTACTTCCGTTTCATCTAATCTCAAGTCAGAAGATACTAAAGAAGTTTTTACTTCAATAATAAAAATTTGGTCTATTTGTTATTTTTAAATGCTCAAAAATTTTCCTCACACTAAGCAGCCTTGTTTAAAAATACTGTAGCACTCATTTTAGGCTTAAAACAACAATAATGAAAAGTTCACACTTTTCATTTCGATAATTTAAGGTTAAAATTTCGAACAATTGTCTGTCAAATTCAACTTTTCGTTCGAAAATGTTATGAATTACAGTAGGCGTAGAGCATTTTATTTGTCAAACTATTTTCGGACAAATAAATTTTCGAAAAGAAACAGATTAAGGAACGTGCGAAATTTCTATCGAAATTTCGTTTTTCGTTAAAATAGAGTAGGCCTCCAGGTGTCGATTCTGGCACGATTCTCTAAACCTAAAATTTGATTTGACAACAGTATCTTTCTGGTATTTCTCTATACAGAATGAAAAGGACACAATGATGTTTATTTTAGTTTTAAGTTGAGATAATCATGCCAGTGCTATCGACACCTAAGTCTCCTTATGAACAAAACTACCCTCCATTTACTAGCTGACCCTGCGACCGGTTTTTGAAAGATTTTCTTTTATATGATCTCTGTCCTTACAATAACTAAAACAAAACTAGCTGTTTTTCAATTCGCTCAAGTCTCTGGGAAGCAAGTTAAAAGCGAATACATACATTTCGGCAATTTATTTTTATTTACTTAGAAGATACTCACTTATCATATTATGTATTATTATTTATATATATTTATTTTTATTATTAACAAAATAAACTTCTAAAATAATGTCTTAGTGAGTTATAAAAATATCTTCAGGAAACAAGGAAACGAATGGAGTCATTTTTATTGGGTGACAAAGGACCAGAAGTTTTTTATGAAGTCCAAGATACTGTTGTAGATACCATTCAAGAAAAATATTACTCATCATTCCTATTGAGCGATCAATATACGGCTTTGATCGCAGAACTAGCTACAGAAGAAGCTAACAAAGGTAAATATAATTAATATTAGTCTTAAACAGAATCGAATTAACATCAATGTTTGTTTCGGGGGCAAAGTATGGCTGCTAACTTATAGAAACCGGTTTACGGTACCAAGGGCTTACTTCAAAAAATATAATCAAAAATCGGCACTGGGAAAGTTCATATTAAAAGCCGTAAGTCATTCTGGACTTTTGAATGAAGAACTTGACTCGATCACTTCTAAACCGATTTAGATGAAATTTGGTATAGAGATAGGTTGAGCCCCACGAAAGGACGTAGAATACTTTTTATCCTAGAAATCGAGCTTTAAGGGTGTGAAAAGGTGTGCGGAAGTTTGTATGGGGAACATTTTTTTCCATGCAGACGAAGACACGGACATTCTCTAGTTCTCGTATATATGTTATGGGCCAAGTGATTAATGTGGGCAGTATTCATAATGCCAGGACAGTATGAATAATGCCCAACTATATGGGGCCAAGTGATTAATTACAATCTAAACTCAACTATTTATCAAATTGCCCGGCCATTATTAATAATGCCCGACGGCTCGTGGTCCATGTAATAAGTCAGTGTTTGAGATAGCTTGAACTTATCGCTTGGACCGGGCAGTATAAATACATTCAAAACGTTGGTACTATTGTCAAAATGACACATGTCTCGCCATTTTGTGTTTGTTTTGAGATCTTGGTTATAAGTAAAAATAGTATGGGCCCAACACTTAGAGAAAAAGGTAAAAGTGGCTTTACAACAGTCTTTAAATAAAACTAGTTTTTTACGGGTTAATGCACGAAACTTTATTTATTTATTGACGTTTCGTAGCCTTTACAGGCTACATCGTCAGAATCAAATTTTATTTAATTTTGTCGAGGTACCTTCGAAAGACTTTTTTATTGAGCGTTCGGTTATTGCATTGTCCGATTTTTAAATTTTTTGTAATGTATGAATTTATTACTTAATTTAGTTAATAAAGTACTTTATTTAAAATTCTTTTTGTAATTTTGAGTTTATTTATTTGACCCTAACTACCGTAAACTACCACCGGTTCCAAAATTAGGAGACCTTCCTGAAAAGAACCGATGAAACAAACTCAAGAGAGGCTTTCTATCTCCTTCTTATGTTAAATTATGCAAACAAAAAGAACTAATAGTATCTGTTGGTCTTGCAGTGTGTGCTCGGGGTTGGGATTTTATCTCCTGTATAATGGGTTCCCAAGCTGGTGGTATATACCAACCATCTTCCCTATTGAAATTTGGATATTTTTTAATCTCAATAGCCTCGCGTATCATTCTAGGAACGAAACGTTGCTCAGATGCAAGGATCTGTGGTTTATCAAATCTAATGTAATGGTTTGGTCCCCCTAATGCATGTTCACACACTGCAGACTTATTTTCGCGCCTATGTTTCATATCTGCGATATGTTCTTTTACCCAAGTCCCTATACTCCTCTTTGTTTGCCCGATGTAGGAGAGGCCACAGTCGCATTCAAGTTTGTAGACACCAGCAACTTGAAAGGGTATATTGCACTTGACTGGTCGTAGAAACTGGTTGATCTTCTTTGGCGGCTTGAATTAAGTATTGATTGAAGCACGCTTCAGAATCCTCCTAATCTTGTCAGTGACTCCTTTCATGTAAGGTAGTATAGCAGGTTGTCGGTCGTCTGTGCTGGGTTTGGCGCGACTGTGACGGCGACGTGCTACATTCAGGTTATTATCCTTCAGTACTCGCTCAACATGCTGAAGTTCAGCTGCCAGGTGTTGTTTGTCACAGACACCCCGTGCTCTCTGAAACAAAGAGTTTCCTACGGCAGTTAATTGTTTCGGGTGATGGTGTGAGTCACCATTGAGGTACCTATCAGTATGAGTTACTTTACGATACACAGTATGGCTTAAACTTTGGTCAGGATTCCTGATTAATAAAATATCTAGAAAAGCTAGTTTACTATCTGCTTCTAACTCCATAGTAAATAAGATGTTGGGGTGTATAGAGTTAAGGTGATTTAAAAAGGCAGAAATTTGATCTGTTGGGAGGATTGTGAAAGTATCATCTACGTACCGCTTATATAGCCTGGGTGTGACAGGTGCCACGCTGAGAGCCCTCTTCTCGAAGTCTTCCATTAAAAATATCGGCGATAACAGGTGAGACAGGGGAACCCATCGCAACGCCCTCCATTTGTACATAGAAGTCATCCCCCCATAACAGGTAGCCAGATATAAGGCAATGTTCTAGTAATACTGCATATTCTATAGGCATATTATTTTCAACTAGCTTCTTCTTAGTGATTTCAATGCAGTCCCGTATTGGTAGGCATGTAAATAAGGACTGAACATCAAAACTGACCATGAGACGTTGATCTCTAATCTCATTGACAAATTGGTATGAATCTTTCACAAAGGCTGTTGTGTTACCTCTCAATGGTGAAAGTAAATTTGCTACGTGTTTAGCCAAACGGTATGTTGGTGAATCAATCTGGCTTACAATCGGACGTAGCGGAGCATTCGGTTTGTGTATTTTCGGTAACCCATACAGTTTTGGTGGTTTGGGACATGCAGGAATTAGGTAGTTGAAGTCAAGATCCAACGTTTCGGAAAGTGATTTAATGAGTTCACTTGTCTTTTTGAGAATCTTGGCGGTCGGATCACTCTTCACAAGTTTATATGTGTTCTCATCCGATAGAAGTTGTAATATCTTGTCGTTGTAATCTGACGTATCCATTACTACCGTGGCGTTTCCTTTATCTGCACGAAGGATGGTAAGTTCTGGCTTAGTTCGCAAGTTCTTTAGTGCAAGGTATTCATCATGAGGAAGGTTTGATTTAGGTGGTTTGCTTCGTCTTTACACTGATGAAATGTCTTGACGTAGCGCCTCCATGTCTTCCTTTCTCATGTTGTTTTTCACTAAGCAATCCTCTACGTTACAGATAATTTCTTCGTACGGTATCCTGCGTGGTGCTACAGAAAAATTCAACCCTTTCTCCAAAACTTTTAAAGTAGGTTCGTCCAAGTTTTGTTTACTTAAGTTGACAACTGCTCGGGTAGCGTTCGCCTTGTCCGTGGTTCTGACAGGTGCGTTTCGTTTTTCCTGAACGCGAGATAATCTTTGATATTTATCTATTTGTCTATGTTTGCACTCGTTGAATTTTGATGACTCACGATTGTTAAGTATCAGAATGCAATTATGATAATCCTCCGATGACAATTGTTTCCTCAAATCACTGGACAAAACCTCAATGGTGCCGTTGATTTTATATAAATCCGAACGATGGCCTTCTATAATCCTTCGAAGTAGCTTTTTACTTGCCTCTTGTAAGATCTTGGCGCTCCCACGTATGTCCTTTTTTGGTGTGATTCTTACACAAGGTGGGATGAGATTGTGGTCTCGGCATCTCTTCAGGAAATTCAACGATGTTAGTTTCCTTGCGCGCTTTGTCTTCAGACCTTCCAATCGGCGGATCTTATTAGCGGTTTCCAGTCCGTACTGGTTAACATATTTGTTTCTTAGGTTTTCACGCACATCACTCATTAAATAAAACTAGTTTTTTTTTAAATAAATAAAATTTCGTGCATTAACCCAATTAACCCAAAACTAGTTTTATTTAATGAGTGATGTGCGTGAAAACCTAAGAAACAAACAGTCTTTAATTCAGAACCGACTTGGACAACCCCGACACGCCGTGGTCTTGGTCTGCCCTACCTCTAGAGTGTTTTTTAGAGCCCGGAGGTCAGGAGGGAGAGCAGCCCCCGTCTGCTGTGACAAAGCCGCAAGCATCGTGCGACCCGTAGCGCCTGAGGCTGGTCGCCGCCGGAGGTGGCGACCAACAAGCCGAAGGTGTGAAGGAGAGTGATGCTTGTGACTTTGTCACGCAAAGGCGGAGGGGGCTGCTAATCCCGCAGCGCCGGAGATAAGGCAGAAGTACTGATTCTTACTTCCCTAGTCCTTGCATCCTAAAAATTGGGGAACCATACATTCTGAACATTTAACAGATTTAATGAATTTTTCAAACAAACTACATTGAAACTACTATAGACTATAGTTTCTTAATGTAGCCCTTTGTAAATTGATTGAAGTAAAACCGAAGTCTGATTATTTAAAATTTAAAAATAAATACTAAACTATGAAACATGTTTTTGTTATTACTCTACCCGATAATTGATTTCATTACTTGTTATGTTCGGTCTATCTAACTAAGTATTCATTTGAAAGTATTAAACATGCTTTACATCACTCTGCCCAATAGGCACTGGGCATTATTCTGATTGGTTATAATGACATTGACCCCTCTTATTGGGCATTATGAATAATGCCCGATTAATCACTTAGCTCTTAACATATACATTATAATCGCTTTTATAGATTCTCACGCATTAACGAATAAAACAAGTAGACTCTTAAGCGCCTAACAAAAGTGCGTGGTAATAAAACAGTCAAAAAACGACTGTTTCAAAATAGGCACATAAAGCCGGGTACTCATTAGCGAGTTGTAACCGTAACATCATCATGGCATGCACTGTAATCAAAAAGCATAGTGTGTACGTGGTTCGTTAACCTGCTGTGAGCGGTACGCTTGCGGTTTGCAGCGAGCCATCCTTTGCAACTACAAGCGTACACACTAGAACCTCGTACTGTATCACGCATGTTACAGTTACAGCTCGCTAATGAGTGGCTTTAGACGTGTGTGCTTAATTTTACTTCAGACTCTTTTTGAACGCGATTGTAAGTCTACTTGTTTTTAATGTTCTCATGTAACGATTGCTTTTAGAAATGAGTTCAGAAAGGTCTCCCATAGAAGACAGGCAGTTGTCCAACGAATCCGTGTCGTCTGCGGAGAGTGTAGGCGGGGCACATCTTACGGAACATTCCACTTATGCCCGCAGAAAACTCGACCAATTGCAAGAGAGGCACAATAATAAAATACAGGTAAAATATGACTGACACCCACGGGAGCACAGAGATATGGTGACTTATTTCTTTGCAAGTGGAATTCTTTGTTTCCCCCTATTTCTATTAAAACAAAAATTATGTATGATAAAACTGAAGATCTCATTAGGTAAACTGCACAACCCCACTCAGACAGAGGGACTCATACACCCGCGAATATACACATACACACGCACACACATTCATGAAAACCATGGACCAATAGGTCCATGTTAAAAAGCATAAAGTTAAATTCTAGGGATGTATACAATTGTGTTTTACTTATCTGGGAGGAGCCACTGACTCCTCAGATATAGGGAGGACATGCCCTATATCTGAGTTGGGATGGTTAAGGCTCACATTGTTTTCGTAAGAAACTGAACAATAATGTGCAAATTGTAAAAGTAATATTATTGTTATTATTGGCTAAATAAATATTATTTTTACTATTCTACAACTTTTTGGCTACTTAAAAAACGCGTGAAGAAGCAAGCTTGTGTAGGAGTACGGAACTGCTGCACCACGGGTAGGATGGAGTCATTTGTCTAAATGATTAAAATAATCTAAAATTTAATCTTTTTATCGATTTATCGAGAATTGTCAACTTAACTCTATGTCATACAAATTAATGAAGCATTCACTAGTTTTCATAATTTTCTTAGCTTGCAAATAGATAAAAGATGTGAAAGTTGTATTTGTATCAATGGCAAAAATGTAATTACCTAAATATTTGGCTTGATCGATATATTCTTTATGTGGAAAAAACTATACGTCCTGATGCTTTCTGCCATGAAATGACTGTAATATTCTCCAGAAACATTTGACTATTGTGTTGATTTAATCATACTTAAAAACTTTTTTTTATTTAAAACAAAACTATTTTTAAGAAATAATATGGAACCATTATTCTCTAACAAAGGCCGCTAAAACATAGTTTCATAAAAACCAGACTCATAAAACTAAACTTCAATAGTAACGTGACACGCACGCAGATAAAACAAAATACTTTGACAAAACAAATATCTGCAAATGAATTAGGCTATCCATTCATTGGGGAAGAGAGTAATGTTGAACATAATGTTTAATGTTAAATCCTAACCAATTCCTTGATCATCGTATTGATCGTTTTTTTTTCGGTCCGCCAACTTCATCGCAGTTTGCGTGGAACCACTTCAGCGCGTATTCCATAACATTTCTAATTCGTTGTTTAAAACCTTTGTGTTTATTGTACCAAGCAATCTTTTTCTAGGCTTTAGCCGCTCTTCGTGCGTCCCTAAAACCAGACTCCCCAGCTCTATCAATGCTGGCGAATGAAGTGGAAAGATTAGCGGGCGAACAGATGAGACTGGAAGCGCATCTAGCTCGCACAGACACGTGGGCAGAACATTTGGGCAGTTGGCGGGCCACTGTCCATAGCGCTGAGGTCAGTTACCTAAGATCTTTTAGGTATTGACTTCTTTGCAGGAGAAGACAATCGTCTGTCCTTATGTCAACTATATGGTGCCTTGTAGAAAGATGAGCGGGCGAACAGATGAGACTAGAAGCTCATTTAGCTCGCACAGACACGTGGGCAGGTAGCAGGCCACTGTCCATAGCGCTGCTGAGGTCAGTTAACTAAGTTCTTTTAGGTATCGACTTTGTCGGGAGAAGAGAATTGTCTGTCTTTAGCTATAGGTACTGTATGGTGACTTCTGGAAAGATTAGCAGGCGAACAGATGAGACTGAAAGCGCATCTAGCTCGCAAGGACACCTGGGCAGATGGCGGGCGACTGTCCATAGCGCTGAGGTCAGTTACCTAAGTTCTTTTAGGTATTGACTTTTTGGCGGGAGAAGAGAATTGTCTGTCCTTAGTTATAGGTACTGTATGGTGACCTGTGGAAAGATTAGAGGGCGAACAGATGAGACTGGAAGCGCATCTAGCTCGCACAGACACGTGGGCAGAACATTTGGGCAGGTGGCGGGCCACTGTCCATAGCGCTGAGGTAAGTTACCTAAGATCTTTTAGGTATTGACTTCTTGGCGGGAGAAGAGAATCGTCTGTATTTATGTAAACTATAATTATGGTGCCTCATGGAAAGATGAGCGGGCGAACAGATGAGACTAGAAGCGCATCTAGCTCGCAAGGACACCTGGGCAGAACATTTGGGCAGGTGGCGGGCCACTGTCCATAGCGCTGAGGTCAGTTACCTAAGTTATTTTAGGTATTGACTTTTTGGCGGGAGAAGAGAATAGGGTATTTGATAGTATTAAAAATAAAGTGCCAATTGTTAGCATTTGTATTAAGAATGAATATTGGCAGGGATTTTCACTATTTTTACAGAAAAAATATTCAAAATTTTACTAAATACCCACGAAAAAGATAATAGTTTTCTTTTCTATTGTCACGTGACCCAAAACGCTTGGGATTGGCGGATTCTAAAATGACATGACACGCAAGTAAACTTCCGGTTAAAATAACATTACATTGTATCTTTTGACGTTTGACGTCACACATGAGTGAGACGCCATATTGTACAGAGAAACATTTTCGCGGCAACTTGAAAATGGAGTTTTTGATTTGGTTATTTTTACTGAAATACACAACAGGCTGATGAATATCCTTTTTACGGACTCCATAAACATAAGACAATAACGTGAGATCGTTTTCTAAAATTTGTCAAATACCCTATTATCTGTCCTTAGTTATAGGTACTGTATGGTGACTTGTGGAAAGATTAGCGAGCTCTTACACCCCTGAAATGTTCACAGAATAGCTTACAGTCATAACTGATGCTGCCGCATCAGCATTTCAGGCCAGCGTCGCTATTGCGACATCGGCCAGCAGTGTGACCATATATGGCAGGATTCTGCCTTTTTGGCAGGTTTAGCCCTTTATTTTACTCTGTGGCATATTTGTTTGACGTTTTAGAAATCTGGCAGTATTTGGCAGTTAATAGCAATTTAAGTTTTTTTTATTTATTTAAATGAGTAGGGTATGGATCGACAAAAGAAAAAACAGTAGATAGGAATTTTATAATGCCAATGACAACATTGGCTACGATACCTTTGTTTCGGGGATTTCCCATATCATATTCGAATCTCTAGTCGAATTTGTAGTGCATTCCATTGTAAACCTTAAAATGCGGGAGCATAATGTTTATATTACCTTTATTTTTATTTGTCAGCTGTTTATGTAATTAGTCGGACTAGAAAAACTGTCGGAGAAATAATTTTGTTTTGTTTCTGATTTCGTGCGGTGTGTGTAAATGTTTACCATAATACCATGAAACATAAATATGAACGATTATATCGCGTAGAGTGGGAGCTTGATCCATTACTTTCGTTGTGGTTATCAAAAGCGAAAGATGAAGATGTTGCATGGTGTAAAGCATGGAACACTAAGTTGGTGCTTAGGTTATCTATTATTAAAGAACATGCAACCACTACTAAGCATACGAATGTGAATGCCATAAAAAGGACAGATCAGCGTTGTCGATCTATATTGGCATTATTTCGGCATTTTGTGCATACAATTTTGGCAGGATTTATCAGTTTTTTTGAAACTATTCCTTTTTATTTTAAGCCAATTGATAACGTTAAAGATAATTCACGGAAAGGTCTTGAGATCAAAACGGTGCAAAAATTTATCACACATTACTTTCCTAGGAGCAAAGAAGATCCATCATCTCTCAATAGATCCACAAATAGCATGCTTTTTCGAGGCTAATAATAATTTTTTCACTATACTTCATCAAAATATTGCGGGATTACTTAGTAAAAAGGAGCTTATCGAGATAACATTGAATGAACTAAAAATTAATAATAAAGAATTTGATATATTGTGCTTAAGTGAAACCTTTATAAAGAAGGGTAGTGAACGTAATATAAATATATCCGGATACAATCTAGGTGCATCATACTCTAGACGAAATGAAAAAAGAGGGGGCGTTTGTGTACTCCATAAACAATATTTAGATACGAAAGAACTACCTTTTGGGAAGGAATATGCTAAGGATTATATATTTCAATGCTGCGGATTGGAAGTTATTTCAATGAAATGCATCGTTGTTTGTGTTTACAGAACACCTGATTCAAACATAACGCAGTTTTTCCATGATTTCGACAATTTAATGCGCAGACTAAGATATAGAGTAAGACATAAAATCATCCTAACAGGCGAATTTAATATTAATATGTTAGTAGATAGTAAAGAGACAAGTGAATTCAAAAGAATTATAGCTAATCACAATTTAACAGAACATATTATTTGGCCAACACGTAAAAAATCATGTTTGGATCTTATACTAAGTAATATCCCAGATGCCCGGGGTGAAATCCATAATCTATTCTTATCTGATCATGATACCGCACAATCTATTACTTTTACTTCGCCAGAATCTCCCAGATACCCTAAATTCTATTACTGTAACAGAAGAGACTATCACCCCGAAAATATATCTAAATTCCGTAAATATTTAAGCAGTCTGAGATGGACTGACGTATACACAGAACCAGACATGAATAAAGCATTTAATAACTTTTTTGACATGTTTAAACTGCTTTATGGTCTTTGTTTCCCAACATGTAAAATAGGGAAGATGCATATATAATATTTATGAAAATTTTATGATTAAAATGTTAAAAAAATATAAAAGAAATGCTACTGCAACGTTTTTATTTTACATAATGTTGTTTTTTAACAATTATTACGAATTAAAAATACTTGAAACGGAACGTATTTTAAAACACCAATCAGCGTTTAGTGACGTCACTCCTGTTATTACAACTTCTTTGAGGTTATGGTTGTTAAAGTAAATATTGTTTTATGGGAATATTTATTGCGTTTTTTTACATTTAATAAAAATGAAAGTTGCGTTTATCAAAGCAGACTCCAGGAATTTACCAAGAGTTAGCGTTGACATGGTTATAACTTTTTTTGTCCAAAGTGCAGAGTTTTTAAGTGTAGAAATGAAAGGGACTAAATTACTACGGTATGTAAAAATCGTAGTTGTTAAACTTCGTATTTTATTCAGCGGCTTCTACAAATCTTACGGCGATAATGCAATCGGCTATGTCCAAATTAAAAGAGATGGAAAATTATGTACAGTAAAAGGTCGAGTTCTCCGGAGCATAAAGTACATAAAGAAGGTTATCGTGTTACAGTTATTTTAAATGAAACGCAAAGCTTGGTTCAGTCCTGCCAATGTGAAGATTGTGCCACACTTTATCTAATTTTCGACGTCATTCTCCAACTGTAAAATTAAAAATATGTTATAGACAGGTTTTGTAAGTATTAGGTAGGTTACTAATGCGTTTTTACGTACAAGCAGATTAATTAAGCATATAACAAGTATATTCGCCGACTTACGTCAAAGTGATTCGATGCTGAGAAAGCATCGAATAATGGTCTTTGGAGAATAATTGTCATTTCTCTTCGCAGCTTGAAACCACTTTTTTTTCAGTTTTGGGTCAGAAGTTCCAGTCAAAAACAATTTACTTGGGAACTTTGTTGAAGTAGATTGCCATAAAACATGAGTCAACACGGCTTTTTTTCGGAATATTAGTGGTATTGTAAAAATATGCAAAAGTATGAAAATTTAAAGCCAGCAACGAACAATTACGACCAGCGACAGACAGGAGTGACGTCATCGCATCCATAGGTTCGTTTTCGCGCGAAAGTTTAAATTGTCAATTTAAAACCGCATTTTTTCCGATAAATCACAATGTTTTAATTTTTTAATATATCTGTGGTTTATTCTACATGTAATTCTTTAAAATGAAAACAAAACTAAAAATATTGCAACTTCCCTATTAGGATGAAAGTATCTTCTAATGGTAGCATTAATAAATGGCTTACCAGTGGTATAAAACAATCAACTAAAACAAAGAGGCACCTACGTTACAGTTACTATAAACACCCTAATTCTAATAATAGATTTCTAAAATACTCAAAACTTCTGAGATCTTGTATAAATAAATCTCAAAAACTGGCAAATAATAAATAAATTGTGAATTCAAAAAATAAATGCAAAGCTTCATGGGATGTTATAAAAATAAAGCCTCCTTTGAAATGTATAAAAGGAAATATTAATAAATTATTAGTTGATAATCAAGTTAAATGTGAGCCCATTAACATAGCAAATGCTTTTAATAATTATTATGCTAACATAAATAATTCTAATAATGAAACTATAATTAAAAATGACAATCAAATTAAATCTAATCATGCTAGCTTATTTTTGTATCCGACTAATGAGGAAGAGATAATAAAAACTGTGAAATCGCTAAAGTCCACTAACTCAACGGGATTCGATGGAATACAGACTAGCATACTCAAGTCATGTAAAATAGAAATTGCTTCTGTACTGTGTCACTTAGTTAACTTATCTTTTGCTACTGGTGTTTTCCCGAACGCACTAAAGACTGCCGTAATTAAGCCTATAC